GATGTCCTCTATTTTTTATATCTTTTAGTGTATACACATTAGACATAATATTAACATAGTTATATAGCAGAAAAAAATTTATGTTACAATTTTCTGAGATCACGCAGTCCTAAAATTTCAGAAGTATTATTTTTTTTTATAAATACTATATATATTAATATGTATTGGTAAACATTAAAATATATTGAAGAGTATTAATATTTATTAAAAAGTATTGATTTATACTCATTGATACGCATTGATACGTATTGATATTTATTGAAGAGTATTAATATTCTTTTTTTAATATATAAAATCCAGAGAAGATAGTAACCTATATTCATGATACATTTTATGATGCTAAGGCAATCCTATTATCAGAAGCTGACATAAAGGAAATTAGAGAATCCAGAGGTAGGATATCCAATGCATTAAAAAAATGGCTAGTAAATTCTATATCAAATCTAAGCGTGTTTATGAAATATGAGAAAATAAAGAACGTTTTCAGCAAAGAGTTATTTTATCTTCCTCTGGTCAACCTGTTTTGAATGATAATTCTCAGACTAATAAGATAGAATAGACTGAGTTATATATATATAACCAAAATATATCACCCTTCATAGAACTGAAAAAAAAGATACACAATGTTAAGATTGAGCTTAGTGAGTCTACCGATTTGACTTCAGAGAAGAGTGTTATTTTAGACGATAAGGCGAAACAGACTAGATAAAAGAAATCAAAGTTTGTGTTAGTCTTGCTAATACCATTTAGTATTCAGACTCAGCCAATCTCAACTTTAAAGAAGGATACAAATAATATAAATTTGAATGCATCCTATGAGAAGATAGTTGAAAAAATACAAAAATTATAGATATAAAAAAGAAGCATTATCCTGAAAATAACAAAAATGATGTAATCTCTTTCTCTAATAATTTGTCTGATATATTCCAAAAAGCTAAAGTAGAATCTCTTCTTAAAAATCTAGTTAATCGCAGTGAAAAGCTTAAGGATTTAATAGCTAATACCACCTTTATATAAAGATTCACATGTATTAGCAAGAAATTTATCAGTACTTAAGGCCAAATAAAACATTTCTTCAGTCTTTATGAGATACTTTTCAAGCTCTTTGCACTTTTTTTTAAGTTCTCCTCAGGACTAGAAGGAATAATAGAAACCTGAGAGCTAAGAGATATTTCGCATGATGATTTCTGATCCTCTTTTGACAGCTCTTTTCTTATAGTAAAGACATTGTGCTAGAATTTATGAACTGATAGGAAGATGATAATAGTTTTTATATTTTAGCTTATCTTAAATTCCTTCTTCATTAAAGACTTCCAATCAGCTCGATACTGCCATTGTGTCTTAAGAATAAATAAAAACAATACTTTTCCATTATCATCATATTCTGTAAAGACGACAGAAAATTCATTTGAAATAGTATCTCTATTTTCCCTATTCTTAATAGTTATAGGAACAATATCAACTATATCAAGGGTAGTATTCCGCAAAATCAGATCAGATCAGATTTTATCTAAATCTGATCTGATCTGATTTTCATTTTTCAGGATCTGAATCTGATCTGAATCTGACGAATCCGTTGAAATCCAGATCTGATCCAAATTTGACAGATCGGTTTGAATCCAAATCCGATCCAATCTGAATCTGAAAGCTTTATTGAAAAAATGAATTTTTGGTTCTAAATGAGATCTGAAAATGTTTCTTTTCAATGAAAGGAACCTTTTCGGCTCTAAAAGAGTTCCAAAAAGTCATTTCTTTTCATTGAAAGGAACCTTTTCGGCTCTAAAAAAGTTCTAAAAAATTCGTTTCTTTTCAATGAAAGGAACTTTTCGGCTCTAAAAAAGGTCTGAAAATTCATTTCTTTTCAATAAAAGAAACTTTTTGGCTCTAAAAAAGGTCCGAAAATTCATTCCATTTTAATAAAAGGAACTTTTCGACTCTAAAAAAGGTCTAAAATTCGTTTCTTTTCAATGAAAGGAACAAATTTTCAGATCTAAAAGTGTCTGAAAATTGGTTCCTTTTCAATGAAAGGAACTTTTCGGCTCAAAAGAGATCTGAAAATTAGTTCCTTTTCAATAAAAAGAACTTTTCAGTTCTAAAAGAGATCCGAAAATTAGTTTCTTTTCAATGAAAGAAACTTTTCGGTTCTAAAAGAGATCCAAAAATTCGCTTCTTTTCAATGAAAGGAAATAAATATTTGGCTCTAAAGAAGTCTGAAAATTCGTTCCCTTTCAATAAAAGGAACTTTTCGGCTCTAAAAGAGATCTGAAAATTGGTTCCTTTTCAATGAAAGGAACTTTTTAGCTCTAAAAGAGGTTTGAAAATAAATGCTTTTTCAATGAAAGGAACTTTTCAGCTTTAAAAAAAGTCTGAAAATTCATTCCTTTTCAATGAAAGGAACTTTTCGGTTCTAAAAGAGATCTGAAAATTCATTCCTTTTCAATGAAAGGAAACAAATATTCTGCTCTAAAGAAGTCTGAAAATTCATTTCCTTTCAATGAAAGGAACTTTTCAGCTCTAAAAGAGATCCAAAAATTGGTTTCTTTTCAATGAAAGGAACTTTTTGGCTCTAAAAGAGGTCCGAAAATAAATTCTTTTTTAATGAAAGGAACTTTTCAGCTCTAAAAAAGGTCTGAAAATTCTTTCCTTTTCAATAAAAGGAGTAAATTTTCAGATCTAAAAGTGTCTGAAAATTCGTTTCTTTTCAATGAAAGGAACTTTTCGGCTCTAAAAGAGATCTGAAAATTGGTTCATTTTCAATGAAAGGAACTTTTCGGTTCTAAAAGAGATCTGAAAATTCGTTCCTTTTCAATGAAAGGAAACAAATATTTGGCTCTAAAGAAGTCTGAAAATTCGTCCCTTTTCATTGAAAAGGAACTTTTCAGCTTTAAAAAATTTGAATTCAGATCTGACAGATTAGATCTGAATCTGAATCTGAATCTGAATCTGACGGATCTGATCTGATCTGAATCTGAATCCGAATTAGATCCGAATCTGACAGATCTGATCTGAATCCAATCCGTCAGATTAAGATTGGATTCAGATCGATCTGAATCTGTGCAGAACACTAATTAAGTGAATGGGATTTACTTATGACCCATTAAGTCTGTGAATCTTTTTCTTATCTATTATTAGACCCAAATGCTTTGTAATAGTTTCTGAAATAATTGAGGAGTCTGATTCACTATCTATTATTGCATAGGATATCATCACACCTTTCACCTTACAGGAGATGATTACAATATCATCAGCATTCTTTATTTGTAAAAAATTAATTTCTAAAGGCTTGGACCAATATATTTAGCTATTTTTTTTTAACTGAATGGTATTGTGCATATGCCTTAATAGCATATTCTAGCCAAATATTCTAGCAAAATATGATTAAAGAATGTAATATTAATTTCTTTATTTTAGTAGAATCTACTAGATCCCTATGGGATCTCATAATTATGTCTTCATTTGGGTTAAAAGTGCTTTAGACAGATTCTTTATTGTCTGGGACTTATAAAAGAAGATTCTGTTTGACATTTGTAGCCTGCATTAGCAGAAATAAGACATCTTAAACTTTACTTGTAATATTCTTTTATGCTAGCTCTCTTCTTTTAACAGTATCATTTTTCATAATACTATTCAGGTATGAGTCTTTTAATTTGAAATATATTATATTAATAAATTTTAAAATTTCTACAAGAATCTCTTTAGGACAATGTGGGGCTATTGATGATATTATAAATTTTAAAGCTATTTGATAAACTTGATCTGTAATCCTAATTATATTGCCTGATGTTTTGCTAGTATGAGACTTGGAAGTAGGGGACTTCTTGAATATTTCTTCTTTCAGCTTAATGCTTTTCTTTATTAGTATTTCACTTTGCTTCACTTTTTTTTATAGTATAAAAGTTTTGGGATTCGTCATCAATATCATCATTATCATATTTATCATTATCTTCGATTTCCTCTTCTTTGGGATCCTTTTCCTCTTTTACTATGTATTTTTCAGAGTCTTCAGGATCTCTATCTCATCTTGGTCTGAAGACGCTAAAGCATATACACTAAACTACATTAAATTACCAGATTTTTTTATATATATTAAAATTATATATAAATTACAATTTTAGTTATCAATTAAATAAAATTTTTGTGTAATAAATAACCAACAATAAAAATTATACCAAAATAATTCGCAGATTTTATATTTATTATAAAATAAATTTTATATTTTAATAGGATCCCTGAATACATAACATTTTTATTAGTGAACCTTTCGCAAACAAAAGTCATTTCTGTACAAACCAATTTTATAAATCCGTACATTAAACTTCAAGTTTTATATTATCTGTACACTAAACATTTTTATTAATAATCACAATTCTGTACACCAAACTCTTAGAAAATTCAATTCTGTACAAGAAACTACAAAAAAATACTAACTAAAATTTAATACTATTCTGAATCATTTTCTTGATTACTTTTTTTCATTTTCATCAATGCTTCAGCTTCCAAAACTCTTGATTCTATGTTAGCAATTTCCTCTACTGATTTTTGATATAATTGTAATTATATTGCCGTTAACATAATATATCGTCCTAAAAAATTGAAGTAATTTCACTTCTGACTTCAATATTGCCCAAAGGATTAAAAAAGCGAAATGAATATTCTTTAAGTGCAAATTGAATCCTTGATGGATCTAAAATATGTTAAAATTTATGTGGATCCAAAATATCTTGCTTATATAAATAGCATGGATGCGATTAGCATTTAATCCATTTAGAGATTCAGCTCGGAGATATGATGTATCACGTTTCTAAATATAATTATAGTTAGTTTAATTAACAAATACTAAATTAATAAAATTAATAATTAATTACCTTAAATACTGCAAGAATTTCTGCTAAATAAATATATTCACCATTATAAACATAAAGATAGAAGTTACCAGCAGCATAATGTGCATTTTCAGGATCAAGTCTTGTAGCACTAAATATTTTTCAGCATGCATTTGCCTATCGGGTAAGTTGACCTTTAGTTTGGGATGTAGATTTCTCTGCAGCATTCATTCGTTTAAATCGTAAAGCTACCTCTAAATCAAGAGATCCATCTGGTGTGTCAACTACAAAATTTTGAGATCTTTGTAATAATTTTGAATTAAATTTTCGTGTTTCTTTAAGAGTATATTCATCAAAATTAGCTTAATTTAAAAAAAAATTATTACAATTTAACTGACATAATTATTAAAAGAAAAGTTAATTTCAAAATATCTAACCTCTATGTTGTGCCATTTCTTTCATAACCTCAATAGGATTCAAAGTTTTTAATTGTAACCAATGATTAATTAATTCAAAAAACAGATATTGGCGGTTATTAAAATTATAAAATGCTTCATTATCATGCATTGTGTTAGTATTAAAAGTAGTGAAATCATATTCGTCGGGTAAGTTTTAATGCATTGCAAGTCTTCGCTAATGAATAAGAAGCAACTCCTCAACTGCTATTGTTGATTCAATAGTATTATCATGAATTAAATCATCTTCTGAATAGCCAGTATTAAGATGTACAGAATTATATTGACTATTAAAGCATTCTCGAATAATTTGCACATATTCATTAGATGATAAGTCTATGCTGAGTGATTTTAAAATTCCACATAAAGCCTTCGAAACCTAAAAATGCTCAGATAATATTTAAATTATTATTCTATTTTTCTAATTCAAAAAAAAAAATTTTAGTAGGAATAGTCAATTTTTATTTACCTTTTCTATTGTACTTCCGATTTCGTATTCAGTCGGAAATAGTACCAATCTAGGATCTAATGATTCTTTAACTAAACCAAGTCGTATATTATAACCATCATTATTATTAGGACGTTTAATAGATCCTAATATAATAAAAAAATTTAAGTATTATTTTTAATTTAAAATTTCGAATATAATAATTACTTACCCTTCATTTCAATATCAATATTTTTAATGATCTTTTCGTTCATCATTAAAAAATCTAA